CAGGAGACAAACTCGGTACTGGCTTAGGACTTGGTGTAGGACAGTAAGATCATTAGCTACTGGAGAGAGAAGTTTCTTAGGCACAAGGGCAGAAGCAGCTGAATTTCCAGACAGCTGCTTGTCCCTCAAGCTCCGACATGGGATCAGTGCATTGGTCTGATGCTTCCAAGAGGAACTCCTTGTTTTGTGGACTACAAAGCAAAAGGCATTTGGGAGGGGCACAGCCAAAGAAAGCCACATGCTTGGGATTACAAATCCCCTAGCTAGAGAACAAGAAGGCAGGGGATGTTGCTTTCTTCTGTTCTGTGTCCATTCTCTCCCTTCAGCCTCATGAGGTTCAACATGTGATTGCACCAGGAAGATGTGTGACTAGCCTAGCCAGTCACCCCATTTCTGATGGCAGAAGCATCAAGTACATTGACATAGCTATTTTCCTCTTTTCAAACACAGATGGTATCCGGGATTGGGTGTTTGATAATCCCTGGCAAGGGTGGGACTGAAGGTCAGCAGACAGACTGAAGAGAACCTTTCCCACAAGCACAGCTGGCTGTGGAAGAGAACACCTGTGCTCCCACAAGAAAGAACCATCCCGTCACCAATTTTTCACACACCAATTTTGAACATTGACACTGCTTTTGATTAAGGTGCACAGGACTGGTAATCAGTGCCTAAGCACTTCAAAACTGAGAAGGACTCTCACCAAGGGCAAGGTTCTGTCACACAGGGGCACGTTTACTGCGTACAACTTACCAGCCAGAGTACCCCAGCAAGCCACATTGTCCACAGACATCCACTTCAAAGGCATCACTTGAAATCATCAGTCTCTCCAACAGAAGCATGCTGGCTCCATAACCTATCAAACAATCCCGCTCCATCTCTCCAAGACGCAAACCACCATCACGGGATCGACCTTCCGTGGGTTGCCTTTGAAATAAGGATTTGAAAACATGGAATAAGCATTCCAGAACATACATTCTGTGACTGTAGGAACGACTGTCTTCAGTATCAATGGACAACAGCACTCTGCAAGGCAGAGCTGCTGGTCTCACCAAGGTATTGCTCCTGCACTGGCAACAGAATGGAGTTCTGGGAGTGGCAATAGCAGTGTTAGGCCATGACTTTACCTCACAGAATGCAACTGAACAAGTGAAAACAAAAAGGAGATCAAACAGTGCCCAAGACAATCTGGACACAGATTTGGCACTCTTTTTAACGAAACATTCATAACAGTTTGTAGCTAATGAAATGAAATGATTTTTGGCAGCTAATGAACCAATGATCAACCTAATGTTTCAGCTGAACTACAGCTAAGACTAAATTCTTAACATATAAATGACTTTGATCTGGGAGGGAACACCAAAATAAATCAGCAAACAAGTACTACACGTGTTGCTAATTCCTTACTAAAATCCTACCTTTTAAAAGTAACATTTATCTAGTTTATTTTTTTCCATGTATGATGGTCAATATACTATTTTTTGTATTGTGTAGGTTCCTGGTTTTCTAATTCCTCAACACAACTCTTATTTATTGTCTGTGAAGACTCCCTGTCCCTGTCATAGAATCATAGAATTTAGGGGTTGGAATGGACCTTACAGGTCTTCTAGTCCAAATCCCCTGCCCTGCACAGGAACACCTCCCACCACACCAGGTTCCTCAAGGCTTCATCCAACCTGGCCTTGAACACTGCCAGGGCTGGGGCAGCCACAGCCTCCCTGGGCAACCTGTGACAGTGTCTCACCACCCTCACAGGGAAAACTTCTGCATAATATCTACCCTAAATTTCCCCTCTTTCAATTTGCACCCATTGCCCCTTGTCCTGTCACTGCAGCTCCTAACACAGAGTTCCTCTCCAGCTTCCCTGGAGCCCCTTCAGATCCTGGAAGGTGCTATGAGGTCTCCACACAACCTTCTCTTCTCCAGGCTGAGCAGGTCTAACTCCCTCAGCCTGTCCTCATAGGGGAGATGCTCCAGTCCTCTTAGCAACTTCGTGGCCTCCTCTGGACTCGCTCCAACAGTTCCATGTCCTTCTTATGTTGAGGGCACCAGAACTGTGTGCAGTATTCCAGGTGGGATCTCACCAGAGCAGAGGGAGAGAATCACCTCCTTGACCTGCTGCCCACACTTCTTTGGGTATCTTAGTGTATGCCCTTAAACATGACAGCAAAGAGAAGGGATTAAAAAATATTCCTGCAGCTTTACTGCTCAGTGAAACCTCCTGTTGATGTGCTGTTCCTGATACCTGCAGCAGTGTATTCCATCTAGAATATTCAGTGACAGATCTGGCCCATAACTTTGGGAAACGTCTTTGTTTATTTCATTTCCACAACTGCATTTAAGTATACTAAATATACTAAAAATAAGGTTTTGACAACTGATTTCAACTCAGAGAAAAAGATTCATATAGGCCTTCAACATCTAATGATCTTTTGTAACAAGTGTAAAAATACATCTAATTACCAGACCAAAACATCTAAAGTACAAGTTGTATTTGTTTTTAGAGGGAAGTAGTTTCTCTTCCTCTGACCACACTGGAACCTTAAAACTAATCTGCTTGTAATTCAAATCATCCTTTTCATTCATACAGCCTTCTGTTTTTCCCACTGTTGGGAGAATGGATAGAAGTTGTTTACATCCTGATGAAACTCCCCAGGGCCCCCTCCCCCCATGATGGCACCATCGCCGCTCAGACGCTGCTTTAAAGGACCAACCCCATGGTGAATGCAGTTTCTCTTCTGAACTCCCAAGAGACAGAATTTAAGAGCAGTTTGGACCTCTAATGATAGAGGCATTTGCTCCAGTGCTGTAAGTACCTAAATTCTTCTTACAAACCAACTTCTGTAATCCTATTTAATCCACCAGCCTACTATGAGAAGTTTTACCAGGTGCTGTTACACGGGATAAAATGACAGAACAGCTTCACAAATGTGTGCTCCAATAAAGTCTCAATGCAACTATGGGAGGATAAAACCTCTTGAAAATTTATGGGGCCTCAACTCCTGCATTTTAAGAGGTGCTATAGAATAACAGAATCATAGAATCAACCGGGTTGGAAAAGTCCTCCAAGATCATCAAGTTCAACACTACCATGGTTACTAGACCATGGCACTAAGGGCCACATCCAGTCTCAGCTTGAAAACCTCCAAGGACGGTGAATCCACCACCTCCCTGGGCAGCCCATTCCCAGGCCTGATCACTCTCCCCCTAAAACATCTCTTCCTAATATCCAACCTAAACCTGCCCTGGCAGAGCTTGAGTTTGTGCCCTCTTGTCCTCCTGCTGGTTGCCTGGGAGAAGAGACCAACCCCCACCTGACTCCAACCTCCTGTCAGGGAGTTGTGGAGGGTGAGAAGGTCTCCCCTGAGCCTCCTCTTCTCCAGGCTGAATAACCTCAGCGCCCTCAGCCTCTCCTCATGGCCTTCGTGTACCAGCCTCGTTGTTCTTCTCTGGACCTGCTCCAGCACCTCAATATCCCTCCTGACCTGAGTGGTCCCGATCTGCACACAGTACTCAAGGTGTGGCCTCACCAGTGCCGGGTCCAGGGGCAGAATCACCTCCCTGGTCCTGCTGACCACACTGGTCCTGATCCAGGCCAGGATGCCATTGGCCTTCTTGGCCACCTGAGCACACTGTTGGCTCATGTTCAGCTTCCTGTCTCTCCAAACTCCCAGGTCCCTTTCTGCCTGGCTGCTCTTCAGCCATTCTGTCTCCAGCCTGTAGTGCTGCATGGGATTGTTATGGCCAAAGTGCAGGACCAGCACTTGGACTGGTTAAACCTCATCCCATTGGAATCAGCCCATCTCTTCAGCCTATCCAGATCCTTCTCCAGAGCCTTCCTGCCTTCCAGCAGATGCTATGGCTCTTCCCACAGACACAGGATGAAGATTTCTAAGGCAACTGAAATACTGTTAAAAATATACTAAAAGCCTCCTCCAAAATAAAAAAAACCAAAACCCTACAACTCGAGCCTTAAGCTCTTAACTGTTCCACTATCAACACAACCTCATTAAAAAAAAACAAACCCAAATCCTCCCTCAGAACTAGTTTTCTAAAACTTCAAAAATTTCAGTACTGAGACTGGGTCTTTGAAAGGAGACTACCTTCTGCTTTCCAGGCCTACCAGGTTCTTCCCATGAGTTGGAAAATTCCTCACACCAAAGGTTGTTTAAAATGTTCAATCATATTTATGGAGCATTTATGCTTCCCCTTTCCCTCTACACACACACACACACACACACACACACACACACACACACACACACACACACACACACACACACACACACACACACACACACACACACACACACACACACACACACACACACACACACACAGACTGCAGCTGTTGCCCTGAGCAACTAACTTCTCTCTTTATGCCAAATATAACACCTGAAAACAAAGCAGACTCTTAAAAATAAGATTGGGAATATAATTAAAAAAAGATCTGTTTAATACCAAGGACAACAAAAAAATTCTTAAAATCCTGAAATAAAACACAGTGATTCCTTACATAAAAAACAAGGTCAAGTGGTCTTCATACAATTTAACTATTGCATTTAGAAAAAAAGCATAAAACAATTCACTTCAGTGTTTTTAAATACATTAAGAATTTATTGGTACTAATTCTGTGTTTTCTGCAAGAACAGTGGGTTCAGCTTCATGGTCTTACTCCTTGCTTTATTGGCCAGTAGGGGGAAATAAGTCTACCCCTGTGAAGAAGAGTTGGCCATGTAGGTCACAGAATCATAGAATTAATCAACTGGGTTGGAAAAGACCTCCAAGATCACCAAGTCCAACCCTACCATGGTTACTAGACCATGGCACTGTGCCACATCCAACCTCTTCTTGAAAACCTCCAAGGACGGTGAATCCACCACCTCCTTGGGGAGGTCTCAGCAGATCTCCCTCCTGCCTGTTAGGGAAAACCAGTAGCTAGCTCCAGATGGAGTTATTGGCTGAAACACTGATCTCCAAGAAGTGGAGGATTACCTACAAAACACTGCCTGAAGGAGGAGGGTGCACTGTGCTCTCACAGCCCCAGGGCACAGAGGAGCCCTGAGCAGTGTCACCACATTACTCCCTTGCAGTGTAACAGCAACTGGCATAGCTCATGTCTTCCAAAGACATGCAGGTGGCAGCTCTGACAGCGTCAATCAAAGCAGCTATGCCTGTAGAAAGCTTTTATTGCTTTCTTGTAAAGAAAAATAAAAGCAGTTTATCTACTAAAAAGACTTAGCAGGACTGGACATCCAGGTAACTCCACATATAGAACTGTCAGCTACTCATGGCAATGGAATGAAGTATTGCATTAACCAATTTAGAGGGCAACATCCTCTTGGGTTTTGACTGTTTTGAGAGTGCTACTTTGCAATTATACAAAGTCTTGTTTTAGCCAGAACAATCACTCAAATCAGTGAAGCACAAGAAGCTCAAGTCTTCTGCCTTATTCCAGGTGGAAATTTAGCTTTGCTCTGCCAGTTAAGGTACATTTGCTGTACAATAAAATGCATTTCCAGACAATGACAGCCAAATTCCATGTGATTAAGATCCAAAATCAATGCGAGAGGCAATCTGCTCTCCAGGAAGTGCAATGGATGCTAAAACAATAGTGACTCTGAGAGCTGGCAAAGCAGCCTCTCGCAGCAGAGGCAATGGCAATAACAAATGTTTAATTAGTTGAAGAGAAAAAAGAAAATTCCTAAAAGACTAGTCAAGAGGCAGCAGAAATTGAACATCCACTAGCTTTCATGAAAGTCAAATAAAGAGCTCTGGTTACATAGTATGATGTTACTGACTGGAACAAAGAACTTGCAGAAAAGAGGTGGGGGAAAATCCCCTTCATCTTTACATATAAATATCACCTGGACTTGGGATTTGGGTTTCATTTAATTTCAGCATCTCCAAACAGCTGAGAAGTTGGGGAGACAATATAAAAGCAGCTCAAGGGATTTGGGGAAGGCAGGAGCTCCAGTAAACCCTATGCGCTGTTAGCTAAGACAGCAAGTTTTCATTTGCATGTGAAGCTCTCACATGATGCTTAACACACCAAGGAACGGAAAACAGGGCACACAGCCCAATATTTGGGAATATCACTTATGTTCATATAAGCAAGCAGCTGTGGTAGGAAATAATGCCTGTACTACACTTGCTTTGCTTAATGTGATCGATGGAAAAGTTTGGTGGAAAACGACAAACTTTTCATGGTTTCTTTCCCAGTTTAACCACGGGTATTTACTTGCATGGAATGTGTCAGGTAACTTTGGTTTGTCCTAGAGACAGTGTGAGGTTGGAAAGCAAATAGGCACAGGAAACATGCAATGAAAAGCAAAAGAGGCAGATACTTCTTTATCAAGCACAGCAGAGACCTACCCCTCCATTCTCTAAAAGCACATCAACAGGGAGAAGCTGCACTTACTAAAAGGTCAGAGTTGCTAACTTGTTCAGACAGGTGAGCAAGAAAAGAGGATCTACACATGGTAAGAGGCATAAAAGTAAGTTAAGAGTTAAAGAATATGAATCGTACTTGTTATAGGGAAGTGTAAAGGCAGGATAGACGACACTGTGCTTGCATCTTAACAAGACAAGGATTCCTACTGTCAGAATCAAATGGGTTGGTCCCTTCTCCCAGGCAGCCAGCAGGAGGACAAGAGGGCACAGACTCAAGCTCTGCCAGGGCAGGTTTAGGTTAGATATTAGGAAAAGGTTTTTTACAGAGAGAGTGATCAGGCACTGGAATTGGCTGCCTGGGGAGGTGGTGGATTCACCATCCCTGGAGGTTTTCAAGATGAGACTGCATGTGGTACTTAGTGCTATGGTCTAGTAACCATGGTAGGGTTGGACTCGATGATCTTGGAGGTATTTTTCAACCCAGCTGATTCTATGATTCTATGATAATATAAATTGTGACTGGTCAAAAAGAAGAGCACCACCATGCAGCAGGTGAAGTACAAGGGTATACATAGTAGTCCAGAAAGACTGGCAAAGGACATTGGGAATAATCTTTGCTAGAAGGTTCAAGATTAGCTGGTAATTAATTTACTGGCAAGATTCAGCCACTGTGATGAAGAGACGTGAACTAAATGACGCACTAGAGGCACCCTAAAGCAAAGCCTGTTCCACTGAATTGTTTGTGTGAGCAAGGAGTATTGGCAACTTAGAACATGAGACCAAACAGCCACAGAGCTTGGCTTTGAGCAGAAAAGTTAAGTAGCATCAGTGAAAACAGAAGCCCTCAATTCCTCACAGGTCCAGGTAAAATAAGCCCACCAAGGGCTTAGATTACCTACTCCCCAAAGTACATCTGCTTGACTTCAAAATTTGACACCAGGGCTGCACATTATTCTAATGTTTGTTTGCACTACACTGGGGCCAAAGCATTTGCTTTGTCTTGACAGGTGAAGACATAGGCTGCAGCAATACTAACCTGCTGTTTACCAAAGCATGGTGAAGTATTACAATAAATTTATTCCTTCTACTCATAACTGATTTTGTAAGAGAAAAACCCCAAACTTCCTAGAATACCTACAGTAAGAGCAATCTGACAGGAAAGGGCCATAGTGTGTACTGCGAGTCAGCAGATGGTATTTTTACCAACTGCTAACCAAAGCCTGAGAAGCAAATTCAGTTTTGGACCTGGACATTCAGAACAACCTTCTGCCACAGTCTGCTGTGAGAGTTTTTAGTCTGGAACAATGTACGAACAGGTCATAGCATTTTGTGTCAAGTATCAAAAGGTAAGCAAACTTTATATACCTATACCTATCAGTCAGCTGTTTTAACTGGACACAAGAATTTTGTGCTTAGCCTGTGATGATACCTGGTGAGCACTGCTCTGGGTCCTCGAGCTCTTGCATGCATTTTATCCAACACCATGTGCTTTAGTTTCTGGTAATACACAGGGCCAAAATAGATATATGCTTCCAAAGGTTCCCTGGAAGAATAAAGAACAAAACAAAATCAATATCTGCAGTTAGCACATATGTACCTTAAGAGAGACAACAGTGTTGTGTACAGGAGAAACTTGAAACAATGTGGAAATCATGAGTTCTAGAAAAAAAGTGTTTGGGCTTTCTGGGCAATCAGTCTGAAACCTCCCATGGGGAACCCTTCTGAACACAAGAGCAGTACACTTCCACCACCACCTGCTGCTGTATCCCAGTGAGGAATGGGCTCCTGAACTTTGGTCCTACACTGTGGGACATACTGCTAGAGCTGCAGGTACCAGTTTCAGCTGTACCATGTTAAATCCCTTCTCTGTCTGTACATGAGTGTCTCCACAGTGTCTTCAGTGACCAGTAAGGACTGGAAATGTGTCAGACCCTGACCCACACCCTTAGGGTATTTCTAGCTACATTCCTTCACGAAGGTAAGCATACATCTAAACGAATACATGCAGCAAAAATGCTCAAAACATCCTTTTTATAGGAGCACTTTAAACAATCTCGATTGGCAAGAATAGCTGGCACATTATGATCCTGAGAGTGTTCTCCCTGCACAGCACTCTGAAGCACAACCCAGACAGGTGAAAGTCCTCCTTGGGTGGCTGTGCATCAGCACAGCTGCATCAGTGCCCCTGCAGCACTGCTCAGCAGCTGAATCCCCAGGGCAAGAATTGCTGCCCTGGCTGGCACTGGGGGTTCAGAGGAGCTGGTAAAAAGACTCTTGAGAATTGTGTTGAGGCACTTGCAACAGCTTGGGAACATCTGTAAGCAATACAGAGGGTGTTACTCCAGTAATGGCTCAAGATTTCTGTGTTTCAAACACCCCCCACTGTAAGGACAGCGTAAGAGCCTCAAGATCAGAAAATCACTCGGTCCTTTCCCAGGTACCACCTTCAGCACTAAGAATGACCAGATTTAACACAGACAGACAGGCTCAGCATGGCCACTGATTTCACTTTATTTTAAATGCATGTGCAGTGTAAAAACAAGCAGGAGACAACAGGATTGCACCTCCCTTTCAGGGTTTTTACTGACATGCAGTGTGACTCCAAAGACTGACTACTGAAGAAAACAACACAACTTAGCTAGAGATTTGAAATCTGCAAACTTTCACATTGTTATGAAATCTGCCTCCAAATTTCATAACAAACAGATTAAGCCTGTGAAATTTGCCTGGAACAAAGTATCAGTATCCGTCAGCAAAGTGTCTAAATAGGGCAGGACAAAGCTGAAGTTTAGGGACGGGGGATTTTTAGAGCTAGATGATTTTATTCTGCCTAGGAAACAAGATTAGCCAGATTTGTTACAAGTTACCATGGTGTATCAGCAGAAAGTGTTTCAAACACCAGGATACTCAATACACAACTTATGGTGTATGGAGTGAATAAGGAATATAAAATCATCTCTCTGAAACATATGGAATAAGTTGGTAGGAAAGGCAATTAAAATAAAGAGTACATTAAACAAAAACCTTGCAAAAGAGACTTAAACTCAATTCTTGAAAAGAAGGGGACTGGGAGGATAATAAAAATAGCAGGAAGGTAGGATTAAGATGCATTTTGGAAGGGCAGGCATGTGAAGCCATATGGCCTTTTCCTGTTCCTAAACTATCCCATGTTCTTTGAACTCTGTGTCTCAGAAGTCAGCCTGATCAACACTGCAAGAGGTTTGCAGATTAGAGTACTACGCCAGACTGAAACACTGTGTAACTGAAAGAAAAAAGAGCACACACAGAATACTCCCAAGGAACAGACACTTGCCTCCAAATCCGTACTTCCAGTACCATTAAAGCAAACAGGCAAATGCTTATCTGATTCTAAGCATACACAAGATTTCCTGCCAACAGAAACCTGACATTTCTTATAAACTCTCAGAAAGAAAAACTTGATTTTAGCTTTTTTTGTCAGGCAGTAAAAGTTGGGAAATTTTCCTAAGTACCACAAGGGCCATTCACATTAGAGCCACACAAACACTGGGAATCCTTAAAATGTGGAACCACAAAATACTTTCAAAAGAAAAAAGAAAAAACCACACCATTCTTCAGCCCTTTCCTCCATCTCACAGAGCCATTTGCAAATAACAAAAAGTTCCTGAGCACTGAGACATGAGAAGATTTTTCAGATGTGTCTCAACAGGATTTCCCCACCCTCCTGAAACACCTAAATCTATACAGCAGATCCTTACCCTGTGATACCAGATGTTACGTAGTCCTTCCCTAGGTAGTTATAACCGTGGCGAATAAGATCTTCACACACATCCTTAACTTTACTGCCTCCAAAGGCTGTTCCATAGTGAAATCTGCCATCAAGGACTCCAGCCTTTCCAGCTAGGAGTTCAATTAACTTTCCTACCTGTGCAAAAAAAAGCAGAGTTAACAGCCTGCTCACTAGTATGGGCACACTGCTGGGTTGGCCACAGCCAGGCAAAGTGACCGAGACAGCAGCCTGTGTCACTGCATACAATGGGAGGGGTGAAAGAAGCCCAAGAACAGGGAGAACTCCTGTGTGAAGGGGGAAAAAATGGACTCATCACAGGGTCTGGGAACATCTTTAAGGCCCAGAGTCAGGGAGCTGTGTTTTTGCCAGCTATCAGAAAAAAGGAGCAGGATCCAGTGTGGACTTCTGCTGCAGGAAACAGCCTCAGAGACTGACATGCTGCAGTGCAGCAGGGGAACAGAAAGGAAGATGCTAACACAGGAAAAAAGATCAGAGGCTGTAGGAAGCAATCAGTGAGGTCCCATATCAAGGCCATGCTGTGAGGCACTCAGTATGACCCTGTAGCACAGGTACAGGACTTTCATCAGTTCCAGGGAAGTGTGTACAATGTAAGAAGTTATATAGGTCTAGAGCTATGAAAGAAACTCCTCTCCAACCTTGGCCTAACAGTCTTCTCCGGCCAGCTTAGTGGGCATAGGCAACAGGGAAGGAAGAGGCAGAGCAAGAAATTTTCAAGCAGAAAGGGTGTAAGTGAAGTGTTCAGTCGCATTCCTCTTAGCTTGGTACAGAACAAAATGAGAATGATGCACAGACTGCATCCCCACTCTTTTTACAGCAGGATGCTTCAAAACGGAGGGCTGAATACTTCTAGGAAAGCAAGTGTGTGGCATAAAGATGGGAGAAAATTCTCAGTGAAATCATGCTTCTAGCTTTTTTTGTTTCTTCTGGCTAACCTCTGTGCCTCTTGGGGGACACTGCCCCTTTCACCATAACCACTAACCGTCATACGCGATGGGAAGCCATGAGGATTCATTATGATATCTGGGCAGATTCCTGTATCACAAAATGGCATGTCTTCCTGAGGAACAATCAGTCCACACACCCCTGCAGAAGAGAAAACATTTCAATTCACAAAACAGCAAACCACCAGCAGGGCTGATGCTCATCACCAGATTTTCTTTAGTGTTTTCCTCCTCCTCCCTTTCTCATGGATCACTTTTTACTCAGATTCATTACCATGATCAGTGCTCCCAACCCGAAGATCATAAGAGAGCCCTTGGGACAGGACTGGCAAAATTAGCATACCCTTACATAATGCTCCCAGGGATTTGTGAGTTAGCAAATTAGGAAAGAAAGCTTTAGATCCAGTTTTCAGAGACAACCAGAAATTTGTGTCCAGTCAGACTGGAACCTCTCAAGGGAGACCTGGTTTTTCAAGCTGATGCTATAACTTCCTGAAAGAAAAGAAGAAATTGGGCCTCTACAATATGTCTCTGGACGTACAAAATTATTATTGATTTGAAATTTGCTAAATACTGTGAATAAAAACATACCAAGTCAGGAGTTTGACAGGAACTGAGAGGAGGGAAGTAGAGGCAAATAAAAAACAAAAACCAACATAGTTCTTTTTTCAAGGTGCATTAATTTGCTGAGCAAAGACAAAGTACAACCTACTCCACAGACTGTTTATGTTTTGTCTGTCCATGAACACAAACTGTACCTTTAAAGGTTTTGGAAGCTTTTTTCAGTTTCTATCAGTTTGGATGTAAAACAAAGAAAACCCTCCAAACTCAAACTATTGAGGAAAGAGTAAACAGAAACACAAAACCTGATTTTAAACAGTGTATCATGCACCCCAAAATGTTCCTTCCAACTGTTTCTACAGTGAATTCTGCACATCAAAATACTTCTATAAATGACCAAGAGATCTAACATTCAAATTCAGGTGCTAAAATGCAGCTGCTTAAGCCCATACACCTTTGAACCAAAGCTACTGTTTCAGATGGACAATCTCTTCCAGAAGCCCTTCGAGCTAGAAAAGTCTGCAAGCTATTTGAGATCAGCCTGCTGCAACTGTGCCAGAGCACACATTGGGAACAGCCCTGGAGTGGAGGGGGCTCCTGGAAGAATGAGGATACTGGTTACATCCTTAAAAAGGCATCCCCGACCAGCCAGTTCACAGGGGGATATTGGCGTCTGCTCAGGAGGGAGCTCCTCGTCCACTGTCCAAGCAAGACAGGGATAGGTGTATGGGACAGTAGTTAATAGAATGAGAATGGTAAGTGTGGGGGAAGGGAGCAGGAAAAAAAAGGATTGGAGAGTCTGGGGCAAAGGGTGTGTGTTGCTGTATTTATTTTTTGAAACCTATTGAAACTAATTTTCATTGTTCTACTATGATAAATCAATAACATCCTTCTACCCCTCCCTGCCAAGCAGCAATCATTTGCTGAAAATGAACAGAAAAAACCCAAACCTACCCACTATCTCTTGTGCACACAGCTTCTTTTGTCCTAAAATTTTACACACAAACACTTGGTTATATATGTATGATGTCACACACATTTTGCCTTAGTTGCAGTTACTTCTAAGCAAGCATTAGATTCCATCTGGACTTCACAGCACCTGTAAAGCCAAAAATTAAATCTTAGCTAACTTAAAATTACTTTAGGCTCTGAAAACCTTTTATATGCCAAGCTGGTTCCCATAGCAGACAGCCACTGTGTTGTTTGTTTTGTGTGAAAGTGAATGATAAAAGATCCATGAAATCGACACAGAAAGGCAGAACAGCAGAAAGGACTGAGGGCTCTCCATCATAGCGGCTTCTACCCTCCGCTGACTTGGGTAACAATAGGACCTACACACCCAACTGCAGATCTAACACAGCTGTGCATTTCATTAGATGAAGAGCACTAGTGACACAAGTAAATAATTAACTTATTCTGGTCCGCTGACTGTGGTTATGAGACCAGTCATAGCTGACAGATTTTAATACAAGTTAACACAAAGACAGCATAATGAGCTTAGAAGTTAAAAACAAAATATTTAGACAGAATCCAGCAATGGGAAGCTCACTAGGCCATTTATAAAGTTTTTGTTTTACAGAAGGGGGAAAAAAAGAGAAAAAAGGGAAAGCTATAAAACCTCAGTTCTGAGCTTCTGCATTGTAAGAAGTCACTGGGTTTGTAACTGATCTATAGCATGTTATGTGTATTTAGAGGATACAGAGAAGCTTCTTCTTCCCCTGAATTTTTAAAAAGTCCATTCTTTCTCTCAAAAACCTTAAAAAAAGCTGAAAGATTCCTTTCCTACAGACAAGACTGCTTACAAAAGCAAGTAACTGCAATTTGTTTCCAAATGTAAACCTGATTTTGTTTTGCAATTCCTTGCCTTCAGGAGCTCTGTAAGAGGCTAATGCTTGCAGACTAAGTCTTTGCTTTAAGCTCCTGAATTTGCTCCTCTTTTCCACGCTTGCTCACTGAGCCAGGTTTGCAGCAGAGCTGTACAAGGCAAGCCCAGCAGCTGCAAAACACAGTGATGGAGTGAATTAATCCATGTAAGTGGAATTATCACTTGCAACTGGCTAATAAAACAGTAAAGGGGAAGAGGATGAATTTAAGACAGCCTTAAGTTCCTAATGTTGCCCTGTCCAAGAATGAACTGCATTTCACTGAGCTACTCAATTACTCTTCATACAATATTCCTAAATAGAGCACTCAAACTAGTAGGAAATTTTGCTCTGTGGCTCTTACTATAGTTTGGTATTTCCCAATTGTTACTATTTAGACATCACATGAAAATTGATCCCCAGCATTCATGCAGGACACAAAAAGTAATTTGATTTCATTCACTTCCCTTCCTCTGGCAATTTTTATACGCTGCATCTGACATGGAGCAATACAGCTTTAGACTCAATGCTACACTGCAATGGGCCTGAATTGACTCTCACCTATACATCCTGGGGTCTCATCCAGGGCCAGAATCAAATATTGACAACCAGAAGCAAAACAAAAGCCGAAATTTTTATAATGTGGATTAAAAAGAGGGTTATATATTTGAGCTTCTTGCTCTAGCATCTAGCAGCCTGCTGCACCTCATTCCTTTTCAACTGAAAAGCAAACTAAATTCTAGAACAAGAACTTTGTATCTACATTTCATAATGTTGCCTTAGATGGGAAACCGGTGAAAATGCTAAGAAATTCTTTCAAGGTATCAAAAAGACAACAAAGCAGATTAATAACCACAACAGCTTGATGCAAGGGCAGCAGTTTAAATTAGAATAACCTTACATCAGACACCTACAGTGGTTTAACATGCAAGTATACAACAGCCATGGGCAGAGTTTTTCAGTGCTATTGTATGCCAGCAATAAATGCCTGAGGGTCCCCAGCCCCCCACACACTCTCAGCACTCATGCCAACAGCATCCCGAACTCATGTACCTCCCCTCACCCCTGGACCCGTGTCCTCTCAGAGTTTCTTTTCCTAACCAGGAGAAAATGGGGTTTCCAGGACTGGTTATCTTTCATGTGGTTGCCATTAGAGTTTGCTGACAAACACGAGCATAGCCAGACGTGTCAAACCGCAGCTCAGCAGAGAGGGGGAAGGGGAGAGGCTGGGAGGGGGCAGGGATGGAACACAACGGTATGGGAAAGTTTTTCACTGGGCTACCATAAGACGCCTTCTATACACACACATGCCAAATGGGAGAGAAAAAAAATCATCAAATAAGTCAAAACAACCTAATATAGAAAACTAATTACTACCAGCAGGAAGGGCATTAGAGAGCAAAGGAGACAAGTGAATAGAAGCAGCAGCATTACCAGTTTCTATCAGCAAGATAAAAAGGAGCATGTTACTAAATGTGCTTGTTTACTTACTCTAATGATACGGTGGCAAAAGAGCTAAAACTAACTTGAAAGGCATCTATTTTAGGACTCTATTTGCCAGAATTTGGAAATACTCCTGGGAAATCAGACGACGTCACATAATTAAGCAAAGTTGTGGCTATAACAGAGCTGTGTATCATAGACAAGTGACAAACATTGGCAAAAATCAGGAAGGCTAAACATACTAAATATAAAATGTACAGCTGCTTCAAAACTCTCTAATTACATACTGTGTTGGCTAGCTAAGCATAAAACAAGTCCAGAAGAAAAAAAAGTGCTGCATCACATAAGCTTTGTTCAATGTTGAATCGTTCACTGATCTATCCTATCACTTGCTACATCCCATTTGACATAAGAGGTAAAGAACAGAATTAAAATTAACAGATAAATAATGCATAAGTAAACTTGATTAGTTTTCTTATTAAAAACATCACTCTAAATGAGAGGAGGTGCTAGAAAACAATACAGTTTGTACACTGCTTTCCCATGAGCTGCTGAATGGTCTGATGTGATAAATTTGCATAGTCTGAAGCACACAAAGAGCTGATTAATTGAAACCCTTACAATGCTTCTGGAAGCAGCTATTGTAAAACAATAACCATAGGAACTTTGCAAAATACACATGGCTGAATGAGTCAAGAGCTTAATAAAATGTGTGTGCAGGATACACTATTTGGAAACAGAATTAGAGATTTTTATTCTGTGCCATAAAATGCTAAATCACCCTAATTTCAGAGGTTCAGTGCAGGATTTACTGAAAAGGTCAGAAGGTTACCTGTTTGCTGCTTGAGATAAAAAAAGCTATAATTTTCTCCTTAAGACAGTGGACTAAGTAGAGGCTTTGTTAAAATAGAAAAACAATATGAGAAGTTTTAATGGCATCTGACATTTTCTCATATTCAGCTTCAGAAGACAAAAACAAGGTAAGAAATCCTTACCTTTCCTGATGCCAAATAACTCCTAATCATCCCACATTCCTGCAGTCTATAACAGCAAATTCTTTGTCATGCCACTTCAACCATTCAATTACTATAAAACCCACTGATGTTCTCCTAGAGATAAAGTACTAAGACTGACTTGTAACATGGGGGGAAATGACACCAGTAGCCAGGAACATCTTATTTTTCAGGCTCTACTTACAGGTACAGTACAAGTGCCCATTAAAAGGAGGAAGATAAGTTGTTCTCAGCTATAAGGTTAGGCAAGCAGAAAAGCAGATGTTCAGACTAGGAAAAATGTAAAAAAGTAAGCAAGGTCAGACTTTGGTAGAGAAGTGTTATTGTCATGAAGTTTATGTAGCTGACAATGCCGTGAATGGATTTTGTTTTGACACTGCAGAACATGGTTCATTTAGGAAAACAAAGACCATCTTTCATGAATTTCAACTCGCTTCCTTGTCTTTAGAGTTGTTTAAGTGCAGATACTTCAGAAAGGTTTAATCCTTTATCTTAGATCTTCAGCTATTAAAAAGCTTCTGTTTGCCAGTTCAAACAATCTCTTGCTTAAATACAGTTTTTCCACTCCTCAGGAATACTGTTCAGTATTGCTGCTTAGTTCTGTGATCTACAGGACCTTTGTTGGAGGTGTTAATCCTTTTTCACATGAGAGACTGAGAAATGTTCTTTCAGAGAAGTGTTATATTGCCTTTTTTCACATCAAAGGAGCCCAACTTTTTCCTCATTGTGACTTGTGGCAAAGCAAGAGGAAATCTGGAAATATAATAATTTAGTTTGCATGGAACTCAGATGAAGCTTCTTTAGCTTAACAACCCTTTAGCCTTCTGTGCTTTGAAAAGTGACTTTGCTTAAAGAACTCAAGATTAAAACAAAAAAATAATTAACCAAAAAAAATTTCCTTATCCTTCTGGAAAATAGATGATGCAATATAGTTAAAACAAAGTCCTGCAGCTCAGGATAAATCTCCTTGGTAGGTAGATGTTGATTTGCGAGGCACTGGAAGCTTAATGACTTTACAGACTACAGGGACAGTCCCAAAGATCTTACTGCAACATTCAATTTGAAGATGAGCATAGAAACAGAGCAAAATATTTGCATTTTAGAACACAACATTGTGGTGTCATTTGTTAGTTTTTTGCCTTCTCCCCATCTACTTTTTTCTTGACAGGCCTTGAGGGAAAGGCAACATTTTACAGGCAGTTTGGAAGGAACGTACTCAGAGCGTGGACTCTGTGGACTCGCGTGAAAAGAGGGTGTAGTGGACAGACCACAAGTGGTGACCCTTGCCAATCCCATGTTGACATGTGAGAGGACACAAAGGAGGCAGCAAATACAGAGGCAGTGACACAGATCTGTATTATTACAGAGGCCTACAAACTCTACCTACATATTTAACGAAAGGCTTTTCTGTAACAAAAGGCTAAAGCTGGTTTGGGAGATTTAATCTGTTGTATCCCAGACACTTTCTAATTCCCTCGCTCTGCTTCCCTCTGCCCCAGTGACAAAATGCAGCTTTGAAATACAAATCAATTTGGAATACAGGAAAAAAGATCATGAAAAAAACTTGATATGTGGTTTGTGCAATCTCTTGTTTTGCAAATATTTAATGACTTTAATACTACTACAATTCCATGAAATCAAGTATCTTCATGGATTTCTTATAGAAAATATTCACAAAGAAGATTGACAATGCAGACAGAAATATGCTTTCCCTCCTCACTGAGTCAAGGTACTTGCTAGTTTAAGGCTAACAGCCACAAATGAAACTCAAAGTGGTCATTGCCTGCATTCAAAGATGAGTGAACAAACTCAGGGCTAATTAAAAATTCTCTCCATTGAAAATGTTAAACTGTTAGTATTACAATTTCTGTTTCCTGATTGACTATATTCTTCTGTTATGACTGATCCTGCCCCAATTTGATGTCAGAGAAAGATGATACCAGATGCCATTTTAAACAGCTAACAAAGGAGATTTTCCCTTTCCTTTTCATGCCTTTCCTCCAGTTCTCTCCTTGTCAGCAGCTGGTCCTTTGTTGTACACTTAAATTGCAAAACAGAGAGTTCCACTGTTGTTGTACTTTTTCCCTTGGTATCTATCAAATATATCTTCTTCACATTGCTCCTTTCTCCCATTTACAGTAACATCTTTTCCTACAACTCACTACAAGCCAGTGAACTGAGAGCTTTACTACCAGAAGGGCTCAGTATGTGTCCTAGCAGGATGTAATAATGGAGCATATGATCACTCCCCTGAACACAAGGGATTAATACAGACTGAGGTACAGGGCAGCTAACAAGCACATGCCTGCAAAGCCTGTAACACAACTGTTGCAATGTTCAAACTATTATCTCCAAAATCAAGCTGAAAGGGACATTTCCTATTCTAAGTAATTGATGGGTTTGGCATATTATTGTTATAGGTCCAAGCACAGACACACAGGGGATCAGTGATCCCAATCTGATGCAACGCCAGGCATAAGTATGGGTGTCCACACAGCTCCCTACAGTATTCAGGGTATCATGTGGTGGCCAATGGCATCCTGGCCCGGATCAGGAACAGTGTGCTCAACAGGACCAGGGAAGTGATTCTTACCCTGAACTCTGCATTGGTGAGGCCACATCTTGAATCCTGTGCTCGGTTCTGGGCCCCTCAGTTCAGGAGGGATATTGAGGTGCTGGAGCAGGTCCAGAGAAGAGCAACGAGGCTGGTGAAGGGACTCAAGCACAAGTGCCATGAGGAGAGGCTGAGGAGGAGCTGGGGGTGTTTAGACTGGAGAAGAGGAGGCTCAGGGGAGACCTTCTCACCCCCCACAACTCCCTGACAGGAGGCTGGAGTCAGGTGGGGGTTGGTCTCTTCTCCCAGGCAACCAGCAGGAGGACAAGAGGGCACAGACTCAAGCTCTGCCAGGGGAGGTTTAGGTTGGATATTAGGAAGAGATGTTTTAGGGAGAGAGTGATCAGGCATTGGAATGGGCTGCCCAGGGAGGTGGTGGATTCACTGTCCCTGGAGGTTTTCAAGACGAGACTGGATGTAACCACAGTAGGGTTGGACTCAATGACCTCTGAGGTCTTTTCCAATCTGGCTGATTCTATGATTTGTTATTACCATGGGATTTCCAGAGGTATTTGCTTGCTCTAGACTGTGAGATGCCTTATGTGCTTTTAGTTGTATGGAAGACCCTCTGCACCCTAAAGCCATACTGCAGCCTGCCTGAGACAATTCTGTTTCCCTCTGTCAATCCTCACAGAATCCCAGGATCAGTTAGGCTGGAAGGGACCACAATGGGTCACCTGGTCCCACTCCCTGCTCAGGCAGGGCCACCCTAGAGCACATGGCTCAGGATTGTGTCCAGATGGTTCTTGAACACCTCCAGTGAGGGAGAATCCACACATCTCTGGGCAATCTGTTCAGTGCTCAGTGACTGCACAGGAAAGAAGTTCTTCCTCATATTCAGGTGGAACTTCCTGTGCATCAGTTTTTGCTGTTACCTATTGTTTTGAGCAGATGCTTGTGTCACTGCATGTCAGAGGCTGGTGTGCTTCACACTCAGTGTTATGCTTCCAGTTCCTCAGAAATCAAAGCAAGGAAATGAGAAGCTTTTTGTGCCAGTAGTTATTAGACTGTATCACAAGGGTTGTATGTGCTGCAATGAAAAGCATTTGGTAATACTAATCTCTTTGCCCCACCACATCTGACAAGAGACCAAGCAATGCTCTCAAGCCAAAAGAAGACCTAAAAATGCAACAAGATTACAACATTCAGGTAACAGCCCAGCAGGTACAGTGAGGCAGAAGGTCATGCTGCAATACTAAAAATGGAGATTTTCCAAGCATACAGATCGATGAGAACACGTCAAAAGCTGAACCACACTGAGACCATGGGGATCAAAACATGCTTTCAAGTCAGTTACAGTCAGACTGTTTTCAGAAACTTCATCTTAACACCCCTCCCATACCTCCCAACGCCTTGAGATCCAGAGCATGGTCTGAGATACACTTTTTTGACACTGAGGTCAAAGGAAATCCAATGCTTCTTTTCAGCAGATACCAAAACAGGCTCCTGATTTTCATCTTACCATTAACATCAACACTTGAGAGCTACATGCCACCAAGCAGCTTCCCAGTAGGCTCCCATTTTGCCCGAGATCATGTCTCAGGTGTATCTGTAAAAACATTTTCCTTTCTGATCTCTGCCGGTGCATTCCTAGTTGTGTTCCTGATCTTGTTCCCTTTTGCACCATGGCTCTGAGCCCTCTACCTACTACAGTCTTGTCTTTAGAGCAGTATGTTTGCACAGATGACTTGTAAACATCCTGTTTCACCTCTGGTCTTTTCTGTCCATCCAGAATAGGCCCTTTTGCTCTATCATTTAAACCCAAATTCTCACTTGGAAAAAACCCCAATCAAACCTCAAAACACTTGTTTAATAGGCAACTATTGTGTTTTCCAGATTCATAACTCAGCTGAAGAGGGAATTGGGATTGTTTAGCCTGGAGAAGAGGAGGCTCAGGAGAGATCATATCACCCTCTACAACTCCCTGAAAGGAGGTTGGAGTCAGGTGGGGGTTGGGCTCTTCTCCCAGGCAACCAGCAGGAGGACAAGAGGACACAGACTCAAGCTCTGCCAGGGGAGGCTTAGGTTGGATATTAGGAAGAGATTTTTTAGGGAGAGAGTGATCAGGCATTGGAATGAGCTGCTCAGGGAGGTGGTGGATTCACCGTCCCTGGAGGTTTTCAAGCTGAGACTGGTTGTGACACTTAGTGCCATTGTCTAGTAGCCATGGTAGGGTTGGACTTGATGATCTTGGAGGTCTTTTCTAACCCGGCTGGTTCTATGATTCTATGAGAGTTGTGTTTGCCCATACCTCTCCTCAATTTGAGAAACATAATTGCTAAATTAGGTGCATAGAAGCAAAAAAAGGGATATGATCTTTATCACTGTATTCACAAAAGATCTGAACTGACCACCAGAGATATGCATGCTGATATTATGTGTGCATAGTGGGCATACACAGCACGAATTTACTTTTACTCAATGTGTAGCTTACCTTTCTGCCCATGACGACTGCTAAATTTATCTCCAATTTCTGGGCGTCTTGTTTGCCTCAGCAACATTTTGATCAAGAAAGCATCCTCTGCATTTGATGAAATCATTACTTTTTCGATATAAGAATCAGTTGCACCTTTGTAGCTAAGTACAAAAAGCCAAAACTTTAGTTTTATGTCAATGAACCAAATACAAGTTACAAACCACTATCTGTATCCTGGGAAGCTTCTGGCCAAACTGTTCTCTTCATCAGACTTATATATGGGGAGCCCATGGAGCAAAGATGAGATAGATATATGTCCTATTTACATATAAACTTATATATCTAAGTTCCAGAGTACAGTATGTTGCTGGAAAAGGTTTAAGAGATACAATAAAAACTAAGGGAGAATTAAGCTGAACTTGTAAAGAACAAGGTATATTTTTTGTCACATGAGCTCCTCTTGACAGCAAAAGCTTCCTCATATTTTGCAAATTTCTCCATCTTCAGTTACACAACCAGAAGCCAAATACAGAGTTGAGGAAGGGAGTTTGAGGAATATACCTTGAGTACTGAAGAATAAACTTACACTGTTGTCTTCCTTCTTATTAATAATAACTTGTAGGAGTAAACCTAGAGCTTTCTATTGGTTATGAAACACACAGATGTGCAGTGAAGCTGTTTCTACATTTCTGATCTGGGCACCCATTGCTTGCCTTGCTCTTTGCTCATTTACCAAGCTGTCAAGGCTATTCCTGACAACACAGTGGCAAGTCCTTCGTTATTTGTTTTACATTTAATACAAGATTTTAATCTCACAGCTCAGAAGCTCTTTCTGGTTCTTTCAGGACAGGATGGGAAAAACTCTTATTGACTGTCCTTTCTCATTCACTGGTGCTTTTCTAATTGGAATGGCCATAATGAGCTGACTGTCAGCCCCTGAAATAGGAAGACTTCCATCTCCTGGCCTCCTGCCTGGCAAAGTAAAGGTTGAGCACCAGCACTGGACATGTTCTGTAGGAGTCAGTACGGAGGTGTGCCACCTAAGTACACACGTATTCTCTGCCCTGACACTCCTCCTGCTTTTCTCCTTTTCCTCCATCATTTCATCATGAGTGATTTCTCTCCCATCTACCACTGTCTCAGCTCTCTCCTCATTTTCTGCTGGAAGCCTGCTCAGAGATGCCTGAAGATCCAGGTGCCCCAGATCATGTCCCAGGTGCACCTGTAAAAACATTTTCCCTTTCTGGTCTCTGCTGGTGCACTCCTAGTTGTGTTCCTGATCTGCTTCCCTTTTGCACCATGGCTCTGAGCTACCTACCTGCAGTCTTCATGACAATTCTTCCCTCCCTTTACAATTCCAGCTTTTCTGTCAGAATCTAATTTACTGGACACTAAGTGGGTAGGCACTTCTGAGAATAACCTAGGCTCTGAAAACTCCCGTGAGAAGTCAAGGCCTAGAGAACTAGGTCTAATTTGCAGCGGGAAATTTACTCCTTTGAGTTGTCTAGACTTGGATATTGTCTGTTGCAACGTACGTTACTGGCACATCTTTGTACTGTGGCTGCTGAGGCACACTGCTTCCTTCCAGAGGTGTCTGGGTCACAGTTGGCATAGATTTATTCACAAGGACTTGCTTATTTTCTACTTTTTCACCTGCAAAGAACAAGTCAAAAAAGCAACATGAAAACATATCTGGCTACCTGTGTTAGAGCAACATGATACACTTCCTGGGTTCAAACTGAAGGAGGGAAAGTCTAGGCTGGATGAGAGGAAGAAGCTTTTTCCTGTGAGGGTGGTGAGACAGTGGCACAGGTTGCCCAGGGACATGGTGGCTGCCCCAACCCTGACGATGTTCAAGGCCAGGCTGGATGAGGCCTTGAGCAACCTGATCTAGTGAGGAGGTGTCCCTGCCCGTGGCAAGAGGTTGGGACTAGATGATCTCTAAGGTCCATTCCAACCCCCTAAATTCTATGATTCTATGAATTCTATGTGCCTCCCAGTTTGTCTGCCAGCTTACCTTTTTAAAGCTTAAAATGTGTCTGCATTAAATATTGCATGCTGAGGGAATCATTAACTTAGCTTTCTTTGGTACACCAACACAGAGCAGTTTGCCTGCTGGGTGCACTATGAGAACAGCTGTTCAACATCCCCTGGGTTGAAAGACTGCACAAAAGGATGTGAAGAAATTTTAGAGAAAATTAACCAGCAATACTTTAACTGACAAATTTTAGAAATTTGCTTCTAAATTTGGGGCATCACATCATTTCCACAACGATGGAACTATCAGTCTCTCCTTGCACTACATATTTGTTGATTCTGGTGCCAACAGCTTTTTCCTGCTCCATTCCCTTATCTTGCCTTTCACATAGAAACCCAGAGCAGTAACATGCCCAACAACACAAATGCTCACACACCAAGCACTTACCTCCCTCCTCCTCCTCCAAATTACCCTGAACTTCAGCCTGTGTCTCTTCTGTTCACATGAACTATCTCAAATAGGTTTTATCTACATGCTGAGAACAATCTCAGTCTGGAGTCCAACCCAGTCCTATCTATCCTAACACTTCAGAAGATTCTTGCCTTCTTTTCCTTAATCAACTTTGAAAGCTCCATTGTGATGTGCTAAAGAGCAAAATTGAGCCAATTGTGTTGCTGTAATAGAATTAAGTTTAGTGCCTTTTGTAACACCTTTCTTATTAGATCTCAGCAGATCTACTAAACAGTTTCTAACTGAAGGATGACAGCCTGGAAGTCTATTACCATTGGAAAGTTATACACCTATCCCCATAAATAAATGTCACTTTATTTATTTTATTATCTCTCTCCAAACACCTTTCTAAAGTGTTAAAACCACAAGGTTTTACTTCCTCAAGCAACTGCACTAATTGACAGAATGCTAGGAGATTTTGATATATGAAACCAAAATAATAAGGAATCTATCTCTAGCCTTAAAAAACCCAATAGAACATGAGAGACAAACAGGAAAAAAACTAAAGTATTCAAAGTTTGACAGCTTGGAGATATAAGAATACAAATTCTAGTGCTTCAGTAGATACTGTTAAAAACTTGCTCTTCTACTTAAACATCAAGATCCCTTTTCTCATGCACAAATCCCCCAATGACTGCTACCACACTGCTCTCAGAAACTAACTTTTAACAAGAATTTTCCATTACAATACCATCACCTTCAAGACAAAAACCCCAAAACACTAAGTATAAAACATGAGATGGTAGGAAAAAGTTTTTAGATGTTAGGAAAAATGTTTTCCCTATCAGGGTGTTCAGGCACTGGACTATTGCCCAGGGAGGTGGTGGCGTCACCATCCCTGGAGGTGTTTAAGAGGCATCTGGATCTGTTGCTGGAGGATAGGGTGTAGGGTTTAGGGGTTCCAGTTAATGGTTGGACTGGATGATCTTAGAGGTCTCCTCCAACCTTGACGATTCTAGGACTCTAAGGTGCACAAGAAATACTAACAGAACATTCATTTCTACTTAGATTATGAATATGCCACAGATGAACATGCAGTCTGACATACCTGGAGAGCAGATCCCATCAGCATCTAGGATCTCATGGCGCCAGATTGGCTTTCGGGTAGCTGCGTCCAACATCGGCCCCATGACTTTATCAAATGTCTGGTTGGTGTAACGCTTCAGGGTACACTTGGCATTCTTATACACAAGGCACCTTCCAAAACCTAAAATATAACACAAACTCATCTGCCTAGGAGTTCAGAGATCCTTTATAATGCATTGTCAGAGTAAAACAAGAAGGCTGATACAC